AGTTCTGATTGTTGTGCTGTTGAATTCTCGAAGTTCTGATTGGTGTGCCGTTGAATTCTCGAAGTTCTGATTGGTGTGCTGTTGAATTCTCGAAGTTCTGATTGGTGTGGATAAATAAATGTGAATTCGGTAGTTGTACTGTTAGGATTGTTCTTATGATCAGGTTTATTCTATATAATCAGGATTGTTCTATATGATCAGATTTATTCTATATAATCAGGATTGTTCTATATGATCAGTTTATTCTATATAATCAGGATTGTTCTGTATGATCAGGTTTATTCTATATAATCAGGATTGTTCTGTATAATTAGGAAATGCTTAAAGAAATATTTATTTCACGATATAAGTTATAACCCAGTATCGAATATTTACATTAGTACGGTGCTTCAAAATGGATATTTACTTGGGTACAGTACTTTAAAATAAAGACACACTTTATTACTTGCTTTAAAGTATTACAGTACTTTAAAGTAAACATACATTATAATTAATACGATGCTTTAGGAATAAAGTACATGGAATTTGATATTCTTGAATGGGAATTCGTTGGTTTTCTTATCACATTCTCTAAAAAGTATGTAAATAGGATATATTTCGATGTAATCCTCTATGTGGATTCTTGCACGCGGTGGGAAGGTTCTGTGTATGCCACTTACTTTTTTTCTGGATCCAAACATCCACCCACATGTGAAGTAGTCGACAACGAGAGGATCCTTTGTTATTTTCATCTGCATCTGGCAGGAGCAGACCATACTCGACTTATAGTTTCAAACCACTGTCACCCCGTTTTTAAAGACGAAGAAGGATCACAGAATATCATTATCAGTTATTGAATCATTGCTTTGACTAGCTGTTTGTGAAAGCTGTTTGTGAAACGTTTCAGAAAGGATGGTTAATGTTCAGCTAGGTTAGTTCCCCAAATCAAAGACTCCCTTCGAAACAAGCAGGTTGTTTTGCAGGAAGCAGTCCACCATGAACCATGCGATTCAACTTGAAATGTCAGCCAGGAAAGTCCCTCTTTATATGGAGCTCCTTTTTCTATATTTAATTTTTAACTAGATAAGTTTTAGAACATTATATGAAGGTTCAATAACTTATGGTGCTTCCATTATTATAGGTTGAATGAAGACATGCCTATTTTTATTGTTTATTAGATAGAATATTCAAAGTCTATGTTGGATCAATACTGAGAATTGTGTCTTGAGTGCCACATTTTTTGTTATTAAGATCAATGCCATCACTAAGCAACTTCCTTTAACAGTGGAAAACCCCCCTATCTTTATTATTCAAATTTCCTGTCAGTCATTGAATATAGATTTTTAATTGCAAAGCCACATCAGGCTATCTGCTATATCCATCAAGGGAAATCGAACCCTTCATTTTAACGTTGTAAATCCATAGACTTACCACTGTCCCACTGGGGGACTCGAATATAAGATACATATTGATTAGCAGCCCAAACTGTCTGCATATACAATGTGATGTGTTTTTATTTTCTTTGTCTAAAACTCTTCGTGTGTGTTTCTGCTTTCCAAAAAGTATTGCACCTGATCCAGAGCTCAATCTGCGAGGTGCGAAAATTCTTGTTGGGGCCGAGACTAAGTTGTTAGGACTTCTATTTGATAATAAGTAGCTTAAAGTCAAGTATACAAGGGCACTGGACATCCTCCTTCTCCTCTCTTCTACTTACTGGAGAATATAAAATTGTATTTATTGTGCCCGTCTTTAATCCAAATTGGAATTTGTATTTCTGGTCTATTTCTCAGCCAGATATTCTGCATTTTAGGATGTTTCATTCTCTGCATCATCAGGGTCTTCAGTTTTATACATGGGATTTTCTGAAGTCCCAAATCTTTCAAATCTAAACTTCTATTGAAATCAGGTGGTTATTTAGCCTCTGCTATGGCTTGCTGCAGCTCTACTGTTGCTTATAGGTTCCTTCTATAGATTTGGTATCCACTGTTGATTTGTGTGCAATCTGAATAATATAGAAGTTAAGTGGTATGATACATTAACTGTACCACCCATAATGACTCTCTTTGAAGCCCCTGGAATTGCTAAATATCTATTCTTACTCAGTTCTATTGTCTATTCAGAAATATTTTACTTTGTTATCTGTGTTCTTTCAGTTTTCCTACATTCTTCGCTATGTTGATATCTGAGGGAACGATATTGCTAACACCACGTTCATCACAGTTACTATGGAATCTTTGCCAAATCAGCCTCCACAGGTTAAAATCTAATCTTAGACAAGTCATCGTCTACAGGTTAACATCAAATCTTAGCCAAATCACCCTCTACAGGTAATATAAAATTTTAGACAAGTCATCGTCTACAGGTTAATATCAAATCTTAGACAAGTCATCGTCTACAGGTTAACATCAAATCATAGACAAGTCATCGTCTACAGTTTAATAACAAATCTTAGACAAGTCATCGTCTACAGGTTAACATCAAATCTTAGACAAGTCATCGTCTACAGGTAATATAAAATCTTAGCCAAATCACCCTCTACAGGTTAAAATCAAATCTTAGACAAGTCATCGTCTACAGGTAATGTCAAATCTTATCCAAATCAGAAAAGAACAGATGATGTTTCGTTCAACGTGCTGGGGAAGACCTCATCATACAGAACGAAACGTCGTCCACTCCTACATCCTAAGCAAGTACAGTTCATTAAAACTGTAAATCCTGTAAAGTCTTCGTGGACTGTTTAAAAACTAGAGGATTAATGAAGATTTTATATGTTATTAAATATTTATTATAATACTGCTGCTGCCACGCCAATGTATTAGGCATAGGTCACCATGGTGACAAAATGTGTTAACGTTCGTTGCTATCGAACACTTTGACGGCCGCGTTACCGCAGATTCTCCCTTTTTCTGTTTATCGCGATAGAAAAGTAATTTCTGTACAGTGTAGAGAAAACAACAACAACTGCTTTAAACAGTTTAAGTACAAAAAAAGTATGTATCAATACATCAACATGGATTTAAAATAATATATAATAAAACACATTATCTAGACGGTTAGGGCGACGTTCTCCTCTAGGGCGACTTACTGTTTCTTAACGAGTGCTCCTCCCTTCTATCTGGTTTTGGAGATGACGTTTCGGACTTTAGGCTGAGCTCTTGTTTGTTTGTTTGTTTGTTTTGAATTTCGCGCAAAGCTACACGAGGGCTATCTGCGCTAGCCGTCCCTAATTTAGCAGTGTAAGACAAGAGGGAAAGCAGCTAGTCATCACCACCCACCGCCAACTCTTGGGCTATTCTTTTACCAACGAATAGGGGGATTGACCGTCACATTATAACGCCCCCACGGCTGAAAGGGCGAGCATGTTTGGTGTGACGGGGATTCGAACCTGCGACCCGCAGATTGCGAGTCGAGTGCCCTAACCACCTGGCCATGCCGGGCCAGGCTGAGCTCTTCATCAGGTCTTAGGGATGTATTAGGTAGAGTTATGTACATATGGAAAGTAGCGCAGTCCTGAGAGAAAGCTCACAACAATGGTGACATCTGATTAGTTGTCAGGTCATTGCTTCCAACATCCATAAAAAAACGTCAACATACTGCTTGAAACTTTCTTTAAAATATGGTATTTATGAAAGAATGCTCACTTGTTGTCGATGCCCTTGTGTTAACATGTGTTATCTACAATATTAGGTTTGCCAGAGTTAGTTAACACCTTTTTTCGAGTTAAAAACCGTTAACTTTCATCACTTGTGTAATTGAAATTGTGAAATGAATGAAGAAAGAGTGGCAGATAACGTTATCCTATATTGATTGGTTTATTTTTTTAAAATTCTTGCAAAGCTACTCGAGTGCTATCTGCGATAGCTGTCCCTAATTTAGCAGTAAAAGATTATTGAGAAGACAGCTAGTCACCACCATCCACTGCCAACTCTTGGGCTACTCTTTTACCAACGAATAGCACGATTGACCGTCACATTGTAATGCCCTCACGACGACCACCTGGCCATCATACATGGACTTGAAGACAGTGATAATCTCATCACAGAAAAACGTAAATGAGTGTGGTTTATAGCTATATAAACTGAATAAATAATAATATTTTTATCATAGAATATTATACATATTAATTCTAACTTTATATACTTTAATAGTTTCACTACAAGCTAACTGAAAATGCATACTAAATACACAAAAACATAATAATTGTACTTTAGATACGTAAACTATGCAAAAATCTGCTTTAAATAATTGGGAAATATTTATGTGTTAAACTAGTAAAAATAATTTCGAAGGACGTGAAAAAATACATGAATTTCTGGCATAATTATGTCGCCCCCAGTGGCTCAGTGGTAAGTCTGAAGACGTATAACGTTAAAAACCTGGTTTCAATACCCGTGGTGGGCACAGTACAGATAGCCCATTATGTAGTTTTATGCTCAAATAAAAAAAGAACTCATTTAATTACGTTAAAAATCAACTTTTAATCTTTGCTAAAATCTAATTTAAATTGTTTCCACTGCGGGAAATCGAAACCCGGAATTTAGCGGTTTAAGTCCGTAAACTTATTACTGACACATTAGGGAACCTACTTTAAATACATTGTGTCGCATATTCGTGATTGAGAGGCTGGACGTATTCGTTCGAACCATAATAACTCGTAGATTTGTAACGTCCCCTAGCCATGAACAGCATGCAGATAGCTTCTTCAGTAATGTAATCATGTTACAACATTCCCGAATAACATGTACCTTCCTAGCCGTTGAAGCGATTGTTGAAAATCGGTTGCCTTGGTTACGTTCATGCACTGAGATCATAATTAAAAATTGTGGCTCGTGGAAACCCTGAACTCCAAACAGGCTTTTCATGCTTATAGTCAGCTTAATTCAGAAGATAATCATACAATGATACTTTAATATCATCTCGGAAGAAGCTGAGATACGACGAGAGAGTTAAATCCATGTAATTATTTTTTGAGTTCGTGAAAATTTTGAATTCCTGCGTCTTAGTATATTAAGTCCTGCGTCATGGAATTCAGGCTACCAACTTCGTTTCCAATTCAGAGGAAAGTTCTCGAGAAATGGAAACACCTCTTAGACGAAAAAAGATTCAAAGCTCTTCAGGTAAGCTGATTCCATCCATCTTTTTGCGTGAAACCTTTCCAAGTTACTTTGAAAAGTTTTTTTCATTATATATTTGTTTGTCATGCGACATATGTGATAGTGTATTGCTAAGTGCGGGCATTAATGACTTTTGATTGATTTAGTGATAATAACAACAGAGTTAATGTTGACTAAACATTATTTGTTTTATTTGTGCATTGCTTTTCACTTCTTGTATGGTTCGCCATGACACATCCTACATTTTAAAAGTTGTCGATAGAGGACGCTGTAATCCGTTTCAAAACTCTAATATACTGCTGTTATATATTATCACACATATATGATATTCTTATGTTTATTTCAATAGCTGTAACATTTTAATATCTACTGTTATACGGTAAAATGTGATTGTGTTATTAAAACAACAATATCTGTTATTGTAACACTACCATTGTTAATACAATATGTGTATGTATTTGTGAATGTAGTAATCTATAAGGTTTCTTCAAAATCTTGACTTAGCTTATTCCACCACTTTTATCTTTAAAACGATAGCACATTACACGTAACTCGCTGTGTTATTCCATAAATATTTACATTTTACATAAACGATCATCTGTAGAGAGGTTAGTTTAGCTGTTTCCTGATCAGTTGATAAACTTAAAAGTTTTTACGTTTTACACAAAAACTTTCATGAGGTTAAAATTGAAATCTTCTAATCTAGAGGAATCTGACAAAAAAAAACAACAACAAAACACAACTAACTAAAACGACTATGAACTCCAGAGCATCTTACAAGTTGTTTTATTTGTTCAACGTTTCGGTTTTTCTCCTTCGTCAGGAACAAACCATTTCTGTAACGAACTATATCGCTAAAAACAATAAGCATGACATTCTATTGTACGTGATTTAATTCTTAGACTACAACTGCCTTAATTTAAGTGAAATTGTAATGCTTCTGATGAAGGCGGAAAACCGAAACGTTGAACAAATAAAACAATTTGTAAGAGTCTCTTGAGTTCACGGTCGTTTCACCTATTTGTAGTTACGTATTCTAAGATCCAGTCAACATTACGTACAAATCATACAGTTTAGTTTAAGATAAAGTTATCTAGTGTGACATTTCACTTTTTTTTATAACGATAAAAATAGGGGTTCAACCCCCACATTGGGCATAGTGCAATTAGCCCATTGTACAGCTTTACGTTTAACAGTAAAAGAAATAATTGATAAAGGAAAGTTATTTCATTTCAGACTATTTTTTGTAATAAAAACGTACTGATATTTTGATGTTTTTATTTTATTATTTTCTCGACTGCCTGAGACATAAGAAATTTTCGGTCGTTTCAGGAAGAAGCATGCATTGAACCTCATTCGGATGTAAACGGAAACTTTGGAGACCAAACAGATTTAGAGGTAATGAGCTATCATAAAAACAAAGGTTTAAAATCTAAAACTTTCCACTACATGAGTAACAGG